GTGGAAACTAAGTCTCCAAAGCAAACTGGCGCCTCGCGGGTCGATCAGAAAAGGGACTGGGGCGAGTGGCTGACCTCCACCTCCCCGTGGTGCCAGACGCTGCTCGGTGCCAGGGGGTGGGGGCGGGGGAGAGCAGGCGGCTGCAAAGGGTATTGCCTTGGCTAGGTTTCTTAGAGATGAAGTTATTTGTGGGCGTCGGATCTCCCCTAAACGGAGGCGTCTGGGTCTTTAAAACCTCGGGTCTTCAAGGAGGTGTCATTCCACCCACCCATGTCCAGGAAGGTGGGTGAGGGCCGCAGGCACCAACTTGCAAGGGGTTTTCGGATTGCCGCGGGACCCGGGTTAGTCCACCGGGACTGGGAGGGATTAGCCTGCGGTCTTCAGGTGAAGGAGAACCTGCCACTTTGGTGAAGGAGGGGCGAAAAGTGCTGGTGCGTGAGGGAGGCCTAGGCAGAAAGGAACGCGGGAGGAGGAGGCCAGCTCGCAGGCAATCCCACCCTTCCAGCCGGGGGAAAGCAGACCAAGCTTGCTTCCCCTCCTCTGCCCTGCACGCTCCACGTGCAGCTATGACACCCGCAGCGTGCCTAGCCCCAGAAGGACCCCGCGGCGAGGAGCAGGATCGTGGGCGTGAGACGCAGGTGACTTTATTCGCCGCTTTCTCACTGGGCGAGGTCCGGGAACTGGTTTTCGGTCGGGGGACTAAAATCACTGATAGCGTACTTTAGGGCTGAGGTGAGTGAGACCGCGAGTGGTCAGTGCTAGGAACTGGATCCGAAGGCCGGGTGACTTAAAAGTAAGTCCAAGGCTTCGCAGCGCGGTTTCCCCGAGGTAGGCAGAGCGCTGGCGCAGAGCAGGAGGTACTGTGTGGCCGCTGGAACCCAGGCCCTGAAAGTGTCTCCATTTCCCGATCGAGACCCCTAGAGTATCACTTTTTATGGCAAAGTCTCTTTATAACCATCGAATGGATTGCCCAACGTATTGTTTGTTCTTCCCTTCAGCTCCACCTAGGAAGAAAACGTTTCAGACGCTGGGGCGCGCTGGCTCCACGCAGAGAAAACCCTCCCCCTCCCATTAGCCCCAGACTGAGCCCCTCCACCCTCTAGCTCCTTTCCCTGACTTCCTGTTGACTCTGTACCTTGACCACCCTTGGTGCTAGGGTGGCGTAGGTGCCCCGTAGCACAGGAAAGAAGAGAGACCTGGAAAGGCGGCAAGCCAGACAGGGCGCCCGGTACCCCAATCCACGCCTCTCGGCTGTGTCCGTGTCCGCACGCCCACTTGTGAGCTTGCATCAACAGCTCCTGCCTCCACTGCCTTCCCAGCGGCCCGCGTGATCCGAAAGGCAGGGGAAAGTTTCCAGGGCGCCTGCCTGGGACTCTGAGGCTACTCACGTCTCTTTGGACCCAACTTCTGCCCAGCCTGCTGAGTTCCACGCGCCCTTCGGTCCCCAGGCTCTCGGGCTCATGCTCCCACAAGCACCGTGGGACTCTGGAGTCTGAGCTCCATCTAGCAGTCCTGAGACGCTTCCAGCCACTACCGACCACGCCAGGAGGTTCCACTGGCAGGGCCCAGAGCCTCTGGACGCGCCCCTGAGCCGAGCCCCGAACAGCCGTCTCCAGAGATGCGCCACCTCTGGACTTCAGGTCCGGGAGGGGAAGGCGCAGGCGTCCTCGCAGGCCGGGGCCACGACCCTCGCTCCTTCCTTTCTTCCTTTCGCGGGACTTCCCCAGGAAGTTTGCTGGTCCCCGCCTCGGTCCCGCGCGGCGCCCCTCACCAGCCCTTCCCGGGGGCCAGAGCCCAGCGATCCCCGGCGTCCGAACCGCTGCCCGGGGCCAAACTCGTGGGCCCCGCTCCCGGCACTGACACCCCGCGGCCTCCCCAGGAACTCGTAGCCGTCCGTAGAGCTTTAATGCGTTTATAATTCGATAAGTGATTTCAATTTGAAATTGTTAGTAACTAATTTTATGGGTAATTTTTCCACATCAAATATTTAAGCATCAGATTAAGGGAGCGGGTCCGACACAGGACGACAATCCGGGGTTCCCCACCCCCGCGCCGCCTTTCCTGCAGCCGTTCTTCCAAACCCCCAAAAGGTGGCAGTCGAAGCCGGCTTTCCTTGGTTCCCGCCGCGGCGAGCGGACCGGAGCGCGGGGAGGGG